CAGGAGCTCGCTGTGACTCGTAGGCTTGGTGAGGGGAGAGTTGTGCGAGTCGAGAGTGGGACAGGCAATTGGGAAGGGACTGGGCTAGCTACATGAAGCAGTGGTTTCTTAGTGTCTGTGGCAAAGCTGCCTTAGACCTTGTCCCTGTCTTGACCGAAGAACCCGCTCCCTACAGGAGGAGAGCCTAGCTGACAGCTTTTCCGCCTTCTCGGAGTTTGGGCTGAGGCTGCTGCGCCAGCTCCGAGATTACTTCCCTGCCACCAACAGCACGGCTGTGTACCGCCTGGAGTTGCTGCTGAAGTGGGTGTGGCACGGAAGGGCTGGAGGCTGCGGGGCTGGGGTTGGAGCGGCCTCCTCAGCTGACTGTCCCCGCCAGGTGCCTTGAGAAGCTGCAGCTTTTCCAGCCAGCTTTCCAGATCTGTCCCTTTGAGACAGAGCTCAACATGGACATTGCTGCTGCCCTGAAGGTGTGTCTGCATCCATCTTGGCCTCTTTCTCTCGGCCCCTGCCAGGCCCTCCTGTCCACAGCTGCTTAATCTGACTCTTGCCTTCAATCCACTGTGCTGCTTTACCGGCTGCTGCTACAGCGGGGCAACCGTGAGTGGTACGACCAGCTCCTGAACACCAAGAGTCCTCGAGAGCAGGTGTGGATCTGGGTGGTATGCATCGGGGACACAGGGCATTCGGGGGGTACGCCGGTCACTCCAAGCCTGACTTTCTTGCAGCCAGGGCCGCAGCGCCTAGCGGGGTTTGTTGAACTTGCAGACATCATCTATGAGGACTTGCAGTCCTGCTATGGGGTCTACGCCAGCCTCTTCCATGGGTAGGCCCTTCCCCTGGATGCTGCTACAAGGCCAGAATGGGCTGGGTTGGGATGGTTGGGCTGGCTGGTGGGAAACGGGTGGCTGAGGCATGTCCTTTGCAGTATCCTTAAGGTGGACTTCTTCACCCTTACCTTCCGGCAGCTGGAACGTCTGGTGAGGAGGGAGTCCCTTACCCTGGGTGCCTGTGGGTACTGGAGACCAGGGAGAAGTCCCTGGTTAAGAGGGTCCATAGATTTACTTTGGCAGTGGCCTAATCCTACCATCTGAGGCAGGTGGCTGAGGAGGCATGGGTGCTGACAGAGGAGCTGAGCCCCAAGATGAACCTAGAGGTGGCTTCAGGGCTCTTTGAGCTCTACCTGACCCTGGCAGATACCCAGCGCTTCTGGAGTTGCATTCCTGGACGGTGAGTGCCCTGCCTGGAATTGGTATGCCCTTAGCTCTGAACCTGGAGACCTAGCTCTGGGTGATGGGCTCTGAGCGAGTGTCCACTGCAGGGAAAGCCGCTCCTTGGCCCTGGCTGGCATCCACACCCCGTTTCTGCCAGCTGTGAAGCTCTGGCTGCAGGTGCTGAGGGACCAGGCCAAGTGGCGCCTGCAGGGAGCCGTGGATGTCGACACAGTGAGTGTCTGCGCAGTTGCATGGTGCTGCCTCATCCTGTACCCCTGCAACATCAGCCCCCTCTGCCTTTGTAGCTGGAGCCTGTGGATGCGGCTTCCAAACACAGCAGTTCTGCAGCCACCGCCAGCCTCTGCCTTAGCCACATCCAGGAGCTCTGGGTCCGCCTGGCCTGGCCTGACCCTGCCCAGGCCCAGGGGCTAGGCACTCAACTCAGCCAGGTACATGGGCTGAGGATATGTGGGGAGTAGATCAGGAGATGGGGCAGGGGCAGGGTCCCAAGCTCCCAGCCCATCTCTGCCCCAGGACATGTGTGAGGCCTCCGTCTTCTACACGGAACTGCTGAGGAAGAAGGTGGACACCCAGCCAGGGGCTGCTGGGGAGGCAGTGAGTGAACAGGTGAGTGGCTGGGTGTCAGGTGAGGCCTGCAGGTGGTTGGATGGGGTCACCCACCCACTCCCTTGCCAGGTGTCTAGCTGCCTCTGGTCATACCTTCCCAGCTCTGTGTGGTGCTCAACAATGTAGAGTTGGTACGCAGAGCTTCGGGCCAGGCACTAAGAGGCCTGGCATGGCCTGAAGGAGCCAATGGGCTGGAGGGAGTCCTGCCCCGTCCTCTGCTCAGCTGCATTCAGGCCCTGGATGAAGACCTCCAGAGGGAGGCCCACACTGTGACAGCACATCTGACTTCCAAGGTGGGCAGAGGGGTGGTGCCCGGGACTTGTGCTCGTGTGGGGACTGTTTTTGAATTCCCACTCTTGTTCTGAGCACCACCCCTCTCTCAGATGGTGGCAGACATCAGGAAGTATGTACAACACATCAGTCTGTCCCCCGACTCTATTCAGAATGACGAGGTAAGTGAAGGGAACCAGCAGGGAGTGCGTATATACGCCAGGGGCAGGCTGACATCATTTGGCCAGCCCTGAGGACTCCTGCCTACAGGCTGTAGCCCCACTCCTGAAGTACCTAGACGAGAAGCTGGCCTTGCTGAATGACTCGCTGGTGAAAGAGAACCTGAACAGGTACCAGCTAGGCAGTGGGGTAGGGGGGTGGTTGCTGGCCCAGGGAGTCACCTGGATGGTGTTCCTCCAGGGTGCTGGAGGCCCTCTGGGAGCTGCTGCTTCAGGCCATCCTGCAGGCTCTGAGCGCCAACAGAGACGTCTCTGCTGACTTCTATGGGCGCTTCCACTTTACACTCGAGGTAGGGCCACAAGGAGCTCCCAGGTCCACCTCCCCAAAGCCCTCTCCCTGCTGCCCCTGTAGGATACTAAGCCTGCCTGGGCACTCCACAGCTCTGCCAGCATCTCTTCCCTGTGGCCCAAATACCACAGGACACCCGCTCCCCCAGCCGTCTGGCCTCAGGCGCTGGCATTTCCCAGGCCTCCTGGGATGTCTGAGCTGCCTCAGATTTGAGAAGTGGCTTTGCCTTGCCTCCTAAGACCTAGTGCTCCCCAAACCTATAAGTCAGAGCTCTGACAAGCCCCTCCTCTTTCCCTGTGTAGGCTCTGGTCAGTTTCTTCCATGCTGAGGGCCAGGGGCTGCCCCTGGAGAACCTGAGGGATGGAAGCTACAAGGTGAGCTTTTGGGTGAGCTGAGCCTTCTGCAGGAACAAGTTCAGCCTGCTGCCCTGGTCGTAGACATCCTTGTGTTGGTGAAACCAGATGGCCATGAGGGCACCTGGCTGCCCTGCCGGGGACCAGAGTTACTAGTGCCAGCTTCCCTTGCAGAGGCTGGAGGAGGAGCTGCGGCTCCACAAATGTTCCACCCGAGAGTGCATCGAGCAGTTTTACCTGGACAAGCTCAAGCAGGTGGGACGTCATTGCCTACCCACAGGCCTGCTCTGAGGCCCAGCTTCACTCACTGGCTTTTTCCACTGGCCCTTCCCACAGAGATCTCTGGAGCAGAACCGGTTTGGGCGCCTGACTGTCCGATGTCATTATGAGGCAGCTGAGCATCGGCTAGCTGTGGAGGTGCTGCACGCGGCAGATCTGCTGCCCTTGGATGCCAATGGTGAGGCGCAGCGGCAGCGGCAGCAGGGGTGAGGGGCAAGGGAGACATTTGGCTCACGCTGTCTCTTCCAGGCCTGAGTGACCCCTTTGTGATCGTGGAGCTTGGCCCCCCGCACCTCTTCCCACTGGTTCGCAGCCAGAGGACCCAAGTCAAAGCCCGGACGCTGCACCCGGTGTATGACGAGCTCTTCCACTTGTGAGTGCCTGCTTGGCCTGCCGTGCCCTGTGCCTGAGCCATATGGCTGCAGCAGGCTCCTGACTGCCCTGTCTACAGCTCCGTGCCTGCAGAGGCATGCCGCCGCCGCGGGGCCTGTGTGCTGTTCACGGTTATGGACCACGACTGGCTGTCCACCAATGACTTTGCTGGGGAGGCAGCCCTTGGCCTAGGTGGTATCAGTGGCATCGCAAGGCCACACGTGGGAGGGGGCATGAGACCCGGGCAGCCCATCACACTACACCTGCGCAGGCCCAGGGCCCAGGGTGAGTGAGAATCCATGGGGTTGAGGGTGGTGGGCCTGGCCCACACTGTCTTCCTCATGCCCATCTGGCTTCCTCATATCCACCTACAGTGAGATCTGCACTGCGGATGCTAGAAGGCCGCACCAACAGAGAGGCCCAAGAGTTTGTCAAGAAACTCAAGGAGCTGGAGAAGTGCATGGAGGCTGACCTCTGAGCACTGATGGTCACAGCCTGGCCCTACCAACTTCCCTGTGGGGCCCCTCCCTCACCATGTGACCTGCCTGCTCTGGTTGAACCTTGTGGCTTCTGTCTGGCTGTGTCTTTTGGTGTGTGCTGTGAACCCTTTGTGCCCGAGCATGCCCCACCTTGACTAAGGGAAGCTAACTCAGAGGGACCTTACCAGCATCTGCCCATGGACACACACAGGGTGGGGGGACCACTAGTGGGCTCTCCTCCCTGGAGCAGTGGTCATATGCTGTCAGTGGACTCTGCCCCCTAGAGGCCATTAGATAGTATCTGGAGATATTTGTGGTCACAACTAGGGAGTGGAGGGTACTGGTGCCTGGGGTGGAGGCCAATGTTGCTGTTCACACCCTGTAACCATCAGTTGGCTAGATGAGAAATTTGTGACACACAACAGCAGTGCCATGGGGGGAGGCCTCGTAGAAGAGGCCCTGCCCTGCTTCCCCCAGGATAGGTCTCCACTGGCAAAGGCAAGAAGGCCAGGAGACAAGGTAGGACGTTAGCAGCTAAGCTGCCAGGGCCCCAGGCAGAGGGTGAAGGTTAATGCGTTTACAGCCTGCAGCTTCTCTCTTCTGATTTAGATGCTCTACCCACAGCAGGTGAGCAAGGGGCCAGTTAAGGATTATTTCCCTTCTGGTCCCCACCTGGCTTCTGGGCCCAAGAGAGTTTCTCCCATAGTCACCATGAGGAGAGGAACACTGCCCACAGGTGGAGATCAGGGTTAAGGGCTCTATGGCTAGCTGGTCAGATATCCTTTTACACATCTGTATGTGACCACCTTATAGCCCAGATCCACCCAGGTAGACTTCCCCAACCCTTAGCTAAGTACAAAGCAACAGAACTCATGGGGGGATGGGGGTTGTCCTTCTTGACTTTATCCAGAGCTCTAAGGCAGGACTCCAAACAAGACTGTCACAGAATTGCAGAACTGTCCACCAGGCATGTCCATTCCCTGGTCCCACTGCCACCTCTGGACTGATGCACACCAGCTTCAATAATGTATGTGTTTGCAAACTTCAGTCTCTCTGCTGTCTCTTGACTTCTTTCCAGAGTCCAGTGGAGTCTTTGGCCTGAGCCTCTTGTCCTGTCTCTGCCTCTGTAGAGCAGCTGCTGTCTCCTCCATGAGCCCCAGCTTCTTGCTCTTCACACTCACTGTCCTCCCCAGAGCCCTCACTGTGGCCTTCAGACTCATCAGTGTCATCCACGTCCACGGTTGGCCTGGAAGGGAGGGATGTACCTTGGTATAGACACAGGCCAGTACAAGGTTACCTTCCCCATGACACTCAACCATAGACCCTCAAGCAGGGGATGCTCTGAGCCAATCCCTTCCAGCAGGCAGCTGCTTTATAGTTTGTAATCACTACCAGGCCTTTCTCAGAAAGCCACGCCCACAAGGCAGGAGGAGCTGGGTCAAGGCTCCAGGAGCACATTGGGCTAGAGCCGTCACTTAGTGTGGATCCACAGGACCTACCAGGTGCTGGCCACAGGCCTGTTGAGGTTTGCAAACTCTCGCCCGGAGTCCACATCAAAGGGATCTGAGCAGAGAGGAAGGTGATCTCTTAAGTGATTTCAGGACAGAGCCAAACTGGCGCCAAAAGACTGGATGGGCTTCCCAGCTTCCCTGGGGCTCCCGACCATGACAGGCCTCACCAATCTCCTCCTCCTCAGGGGTGTCCTTGGTGCTAGCCAAGTACCCCTGTTCGGCCTGCAGCACCTCCTCTGGGCCACGGCAGGCTGCATACTTCTCCAAGAGCTGTCGGTTCAGGTCCAGGAAGCCCTTGCCCCACTTAAACTTCTGAAGCAAAACGGCAGCAAGGTCTGAAAAGCCTGGCAGAACAAAGATTTAAAATATAGCTCAAAAAACAAAACAAAAAAATAATAATAATACCAGGGACCCTTTAGAGAGCACAACTACACCACCCCTTCCTGTCACCCAGGAAGCTCTCACCACCTCAGCCCCCAAGGTTCCTCTCATTTGCTGAGACATAGTCCTACTACGCTAGTCCCTATGTTTTATGTGGTCTCCATTGGGGCCTCTCCTTGAACGCTGCATTCCCTTCAGATGCTGAGAACAAAGACTTTTGGGGCAGTGCTGTTATGACAGTGACGACCCACACACCATCCCGGGAAGACAGCTGTCCATCTTGCCTCTACCTCAGCTTACAAGGTCAAAACTATATGTGGGTACTGGGACGGAAACCAAAGGCTGTCCTGACAGCTCCCAATAAATTCGCCTCACGTCCCCCTGCTCAAAATCTGCCAGAAGAAACTACAGTCCTTGGGACACAATCAGGTCCCAGACTGCCAGGCCAGGCTTCTGCCAGCCTGAAACTCACCTACAATGCAGAAAGCCGCAGCAAAAGCTTCCACGCAGGAAAGTCTGCAGGGTCGGCCATAGTTTACAGGATTGGCAGCCAGGAGGTAAGGCAGGAGCCGCAAATGGCTCCCTCGCATCTTCCCAAAGGGTGTCTCATCCAGTCTGGCCCAGGAGCAGTCTATGACAGCGATCCCTGACTGTGCCACCAGCTGTCTGCCAGAGAGTGTGGGGTAGGTTCTAGGGCCCCAACTAAGACATGTTTTTGGAGACCGGCTTCACTACAGATGAGATATTCTGGTATTTCCAATCTATGTTTTACTGCAGTGGTACAAAGAGCCCTCACTAAGAAGCTTACAGGCAGTCGTTGGGGGTTGGCTGGACAATGTTTACTTAACTTTTTCTCCTAGGCTCTTCTACACGCTAAGCCTTGCTCTATGAAAAGGCGTGGACATCCAAGACCAGTAAGCAAGGCTTGAAGGAAATGATACCCTCCATAAGGGGCTGTTTAACAAGGTCAAGATAATGGGGAGGGCACTCCGATCCCTCCCCGGTCTCCCGTGCCTACCTGTCTGCAGGAGACACGTACTGAGTGCCTACGGGGCTGAGCACCAGACCGCCAAATCTTTGGCCCAGGCGCAGGCACCGTACTAGACCCAGGCGGGCCAGTTTACGGCCGGTGCAGCGCCGGGGATCGCAGTGGCCAAGCTCCCACATAGCCAGGGCACAAGGCAGCGCCGCAGGGCCCGGGCCATCCTGGCCCTGGGCCGTCTCAGGCTGCACCGATTCTGCAGAGAGAGGGAGAGAAAGAGAAGGTCGGGTCCTCAGCGCCTGCTTCCAAGCCCGACCCGTTGCTCCGATCGCCCCCAAACTCACCGCGCAGCGCAGTGCCCACCTCCTCGGCGAAAGCATCCAGAGGGCGGCCGGGGGGACGCCGAACACGACCGCTCTCGGTCCTGGAACCGCGCGCAGCCTTCTTGCGGCCCATAGCCCCAGATTGAAAACTCGGCCACGGGGCTTGTTCAAGTAGTGTGCGCGTGCGCGCTCGTACAGCTTCCGGTTTTGAGTGCACGGAGTTCCTGCTGTCGCTCACGTGACTGTGCGACCCGGGCAGCGATGGCGGTACGGCTGGCCGGCTTCCTGATGCTGCTGGGGCTCGCGGCGCGCGGTCAGTGGCTCCGCGCACATACCCCTCCGCGCGTGGGCGTCTCCCGCGCCTCTGTTCCCTGCTCATCGCCTCGCTCTCCGCAGGGCCCGTGCCGGCATGTGCCGGGAAGATGAAGGTGGTGGAGGAACCCAACACATTTGGGTGAGTGTCTCGCGGTTCGGCGGCTTGGGGGCCGGGCGTGGCGGGCTCCTCTGACTTTCTCCGTCCCCTAGGCTGAATAACCCGTTCCTGCCCCAGGCAAATCGCCTTCAACCTAAGAGGGAGCCTTCGCCGGTGTCGGGTAAGCGCGGGAGGGAGACTGGAGCTGACCGAGGTGCTGACCGAGGGGGCGAAAGCCCTCGACTGGGGGTGGGGGCGGCAGCATAGGATTCTTTGGATGAAGGACTCCGATAATGTATTCACTGGAGGTTCATGCATTTAGTTGTCAACCTGTGAGGGTTTAAATGTTCGGGAGTATATACGGGAACTGCAACCCCCTTTTGACCCCCTGCCGGCGATTACCTAGGGCTAGGCAAGCGCTCTAGCAATGAGCCTCATCGCTGGCTTCTGACTCTGGTCCTCAAGTCTCCACTTCCCACAGGTACTTAGACTAATTAGGAGTTGCAGGGGTGTTGGGTGTGAGTCCACTCCAGGTGTGTTTAGCCCAGTTTAGATATAAGGGAGTGGAGAGAGCATCAGAAAAATCAAAATCCTTTGTATAGGAAAGCTGGGAGCTGAGATCCTAGGAGGACTAAAGAGAGCAGGACATAGCAGTTGAAGGAAGTTCAGGGCTGGTCAGCATGATGGCCCTTGGCTAGCTGAGGGCTGCACTCTATCTGAGGTGTGCTGGACATGCTGGTTTGTATTATTGCTTCCCTGGAGGAGAGGTAGCCCATGGCTGCAGCCTCTGAAGCTGTAGGCAGGGAACATCTACCCGTCTCCTCCAGCAGTGAACCAGTTGGGCTCAGCTGTCATCACAATCTTAAGTCCTTTCCATGGGATGACTCTGCTTGGGATGTTCCTGATAGACATCGGAGTTTGAAGACCTGGTACCATTATATAGTGAGCAGAATGTGTGCATGAGGAGGTGGCATAAGATGTGGGGATTCCTGCCGGTGGTGGTGGTGCATGCCTTTAATCCCAGCACGTGGGAGGCAGAGACTGGCGGATCTCTGTGAGTTCGAGACCAGCCTGGTCTACAAGAGCGAGTTCCAGGACAGCCTCCGAAGCCACAGAGAAACACTGTCTCGAAAAAAAAAAAAAAGATGTGGGAATTCCTCCATAGCCCTTCCAAACTAGCTTATAGCTCCCTGGTTGGCTAGGAGGAAGAGCCAGGTACCCAGTACTGCACGTTTATTTTTATTTATTTTGGTTTTTCAAGACAGGGTGTCTCTGTATTGCTTTGGAAGCTGTCCTGGAACTCACTCTGTAGACCAGGCTGACCTCGAACTCACAGAGATCCGCCTGCCTCTGCCTCCCGAGCACTGGGATTAAAAAGGCGTGTGCCACCAACGCCCGGCCATGTTATGTGATTGTATGTGGGCGCCATGTGGAAGCCAGAGGTCAAAGTTGGGTGTCTTCCTCTATTGTTTTCCATCTTATTGAGAGTCAGGTTCTCTCACTAACTCTAAAGCTCAAGGATTCAGCTAGGCTAGCTGGCCAGCAAGCCCCAGACACCACCCTGCCTCTCCAGCTTTTTATGTGGGTGCAGAGGACCCAAACTCAGTTCCTCATGATTGCACAACTAATGGCCTGAATAAGCCATCTCCCCATTACTGGAATGTACCACACACCCTTACTGCTGCAGCCTCCTCAGTGCTGTGATTACAGGCACGCAACCACTACACTCAGCTTCTCAAGTGTCAGGATTGTTGATCTTTTCAGAGAACCAACTTTTTGTTTGTTTGGTTTTGTGTTTTCCAGACTGGGCCTCTCTGTGTAGCTTTGGCTGCCCTGGAACTCACTCTGTATAGCAAGCTGGCCTTGAAGTCACAGAGATCCACCTACCTCTGCTTCCCGAGTGCTGGGATCAAAGGCGTGAACCCACCAACACCCGGCTGCAACTTTTGTTCTTATTTTTCTCACACAACTCATAGAGTGTGTCTGTTCCACTCCTTCACTTCAGCCTGTCTGACCCCAGAGCTAAGGTGCATTTCTTTTTTTTGTTTGTTTGTTTTTATGAGACAGGGTTTCTCTGTATTGTTTTGGAGGCTGTCGGTCCAGCCTAGCCTCGAACTCACAGAGATCCGCCTGTCTCTGCCTCCCGAGTGCTGGGATTAAAGGTGTGCGCCACCACCGCCCGGCTAAGGTGCATTTCTTAGGAGAAGCCACAGGCACTAGAACTCCAGAATATATGCTTGAAGCTCTAGGGTTGAGTCCCTAGAATACTCTCTCAATTTTGTTATTTTTCTAAATAACAAAACCTGCAGGAGAATCAATAGAGCTGCCCTAGCAGAAACACCAAGTGAAGTCATTTAACCTGAATTGAGAGGATACCACACAGTAGCTGGGTGAAGACAGGAAGGAAGATGTCTTATAAAGTAGCTAGAGACTCAGGGATGAGAAAGACCCATGCTACCACTTTGCTTGCCAAGGTTACAATGAAAAAGATCAATTCATGAGAACTGACTGAGCTGGGCAGTGGTGGCACACGCCTTTAAGCCCAGCACTTGGGAGGCAGAGGTGGGCGGATCTCTGAGACCAGCCTGGTCTACAAAGAGTGAGTTCCAGGACATCCTCCAAAGCCACAGAGAAACGCGGTCTCAAAAAACCAAAACCAAAATAAACAAAACAAAACTGTACATGTGGGTCTGTGAGCAGCCAGTTTGAACATGTGATCAGAAACTTGAATTATAAAGCTGGGCCAGAGGGAGCTGTATAGGAAGCAATCCTTTCTACATGTGATTGTTTTGTCTGTTTGAGACAGGGTTCCTCAGTAGCTATGGAGCCAGTCCTGGAACTCGCTCTGTAGACCAGGCTGGCCTTGAACTCAGAGATCCACCTACCTCTGCCTCCCAAGTGCTGGGATTAAAGGTGTGCACCACCACTGCCTGGCTAATTTTTCATTTTTGAGATAGGGTCTCACTGTGTATCCCTCACTGGCCTGGAACTCAACTCTGTAGACCAGACTGGCTTCAGACTTAGAGATCTAATTGTTTGCCTCCTGAGTGTTGGGATTAAAGGCATATGCTACTAAACCCCACACCAATTTAAAAATTCTAAATCCTCATGGTAGTCACATTAAATAATATAAAATTTGAATTGAAAATTTTAAGTCTCAGCCAGTTGTGGTGGCACATACCCTTTGATCCCAGTACTAAAGAGACAAAGGCAGGCGGATCTCTTGAGTTCAAGTCCAGCCTGGTCTACAGAGCGAGTTCCAGGACAGCAGGGTTACACAGAGAAACCCTGTCTTGTAAAAAGAATAGAAAAAAAGAAGAAAAAAATCTCAGTGGTAGTAACAAAAAAATGGCAATACTCAAGAATCAGGGGACAGAGAGATGGCTCAGTGGTTAAGAGGCTTTGCTGCTCTTACAAAGCACTGAGGTTCACTTCTCAGCACCCACATGGCAGCAACTCCAGTTCCAGAGGCTCTCCACAGGCACTACATGTGGTACAGATACTTACATACAAGCATAACACTGATACATAATAAAATTCCAAGACAGTGTTTCTCTGTATAGCCCTGGCATTCCCAGAACTCACTTTATAGATCAGCCTTTGCCCTTGCCTCTAGGGTGCTGGGACCAAAGGTGTGTGACACACACACACACACACACACACACACACACACACACACACACACACACACACACGAACGACCTGGTTTATGAATTTTTAATGCTCCTTTGAATGGAACATGTGTTCTTGTTTCTTTGTATGCCTTTTGGGTTTTGCTGAAATTTGGTCTTTTGTAGGTCCCATGGTGTAACGGCTACCACTCTGAACTTTGAAAATTGGTCTTTTGAAAAAACAATACTCTGCCAATCTTTGCAGACTGGCCCTAAGCTTTGGGCTGGTCAGGTCTTCTATTTTCCTGAGGCTGCCACATGGCCATTGCTTTAACATCCCCCAAATCACACTAGCATGCTTGCACACATGTGTACACACACACACACACACACACACAGAGCCCTACTTTTCTTGGCTAGTGGACGATCTTGCCAATGGGTCTGTGCTCCCAGTCTGCAACTAGGTTACGGAAAGTAATGAGGATCCTAGACAGACACTGAGGGCCCCCCTTCACAGGAACAGGCATGGGAGCTCTGCCACAGATAACCAGTTCTGTGATCTGGAGATGGGTTTGTCAGTCCCTAGGGGTTAGGTCAGCCAGCATCTGACCATTCCCGATTCCATAGGGAAAGGAGCTTGGAGCTTTTTGGCCTTGATGATTAGTGCCCTCCTGCCTACCTTAGCTCCTAGCTTTAGGGGTAACAGAGGTTTACACTGAAGTTGAACTGCTGTGTTCTCCCCCAGGGCCCCTGCATCTCTTCAGACTTGCTGGCAAGTGCTTCAGCCTAGTGGAGTCAACGTGAGTGCCGGGCTGGTGGGTGGAATGGGCCTGTTCTGCAGAGCTCCTCACGCTCCTGTGCCCCCAGGTACAAGTATGAGTTCTGCCCTTTCCACAACGTGACCCAGCATGAGCAGACCTTCCGCTGGAACGCATACAGCGGTATCCTTGGGTAAGCTGAGCTAGGGGAGCAGTGCTTAGTCTGCTCCCTAGGCCCCCACATCATTGCTTTGCCACCCGTCTTGCCCCCAGCATCTGGCATGAATGGGAAATCACCAACAATACCTTCAAAAGCATGTGGATGACTGATGGGGACTCCTGCCACTCCCGGGGCAGGCAGAGCAAGGTGAGGCCCGTAGTAGGTGTGGGTGGTAGGGAGCTACC